AGGAGGAGGAGGAGGACCAGGAGGTTGAGGATTAGGATGAGGAGGAAGCCATGCTATTCACATTTTTTTTGTTTTTTTGGTCAGGGAAGCCACGAAACCTTGCTATTCACAGTTTTTTTTGGTTTTTTTGGTTTTCAGAAGCTCCACAAACTAGGCCAGGAGGTCTTATGGACGGCTGAAAACCAAAAAAACATGTGAATAGCAGCGTTTGGTGGCCACGATCCCACCAAACGCTGCTATTCACATGTTTTTTTGGTTTTTTCGGTCTAGGAAGCCACCAGACGCTGCTATTCACATTTTTTTTTTTTTTTTTGGTTTTCAGAGGCTCCGCAAGCCCCCGCGGTCCCCTTCTGGCCAAGCTTGTGGAGCTTCTGAAAACCAAAAAAAAACAAAAAAAACATGTGAATAGCAAGGTTTCGTGGCTTCCCTGACCAAAAAAACAAAAAAAAACATGTGAATAGCATGGTTTGGTGGGCAGTGGTGCTTTGCAATAGAATTTCTTTGTGCGGCTTTCCAATAGAATCCCTTTGTGGCGCTTTCCAGAGGATTCCTTTTGTGAGGCTTTCCAATAGAATTCCCTTGTGATGCTTTCCGAAGGATTCCTTTTGTGAGGCTTTCCAATAGAATCCCTTTGTGATGCTTTCCAAAGGATTCCTTTTGTGAGGCTTTCCAATAGAATTCCTTCTCCTCCTCCTCCTCCTCCTCCTCTCCTCCTCCTCCTCCTCCTCCTCCTTCTCCTCCTCCTCTCACTCCTCCTCCGTCTGTTCTTCCTCTTCCTGCGCGCAAGTGCGCGCTGGCGAAGCGCGCGATAGCGCCCGCGCGCAGCTGAAGATGATGATGTTCAGCTCACTTCACTACGATCGCAAACAATATGCGGATCCGCGCACATTTCGCCTGGGCATTGCCATATCATTCGCCCGACATATCGCAACGCGGGTGGCATCTATATGAAGAGGGGCAATGTGAACACACCTCTGGTCTCAAGAACTAACTCGGCCCAAGCGAAATAGACAACAAGCGCAAACGCGCGCCGTACGCCTGGCCACTCTCACTCCGAACGCCAAGCCTGTCGCCACTAGATCACTCCGCCTGGCCACCTGGCTGCTCCTGCGCGCCGATCTCCAAGCGGGCTCGGCTGCGTCAGCGAGAGAGCTCACTGAGCGTGGTCCTTGGCCCACGCGTCGCGGAGCATCTGGCCAGTAGCGAGCCAGAGATCGCTGCCGCGGTTCCAGTACGTCCACTGGAAGGAGCGCACCTTGCATAGGCCAGAGAGCGAGCAGCAACTGCGCATGTCGCGCTGGGCCGCCTCTCCAAACCTCAGCGCATGCCACCCGCCAACCTTTCCCGCGCCGGGCAACACCTCCCACCCCCCTGGGCGGCGTTCAGCTGCACTGAAGATTGAGGAGACAGCGCCTACGCAAACAAACGCGTTGCACGTCGTTCATCTGGCCTGCCTTGTTGCGGAGAAGGACAGACCCCACCGTCTTCGCAATGCCCTTGCCGACCGCCTTGCGCAGGTCGCCCCACGCGCGGTCGATCACCTGGGTGCCGCACTTCACCCACAAGCGCTTCGTCCCGCTGGGCTTGCTCTGGTCAGGGACGTCGTGGTAGCGGATCTTCGTGAATGCCGGCTTCAGCCACACCCACTTCCCGCCAACCCGCACCCTTTTCTTCTTGTGCACGACCCAGTCGTGCAAGACGCCATCGACTTTCATCTTGTAGGACCTCGCCCCGTCCGTGTGGAGGATGACGCGGCGGTGCTTTAGCCACTTGGACGCCATGGGCGCCCAATCCCTCTTCCGAATCGGGCCAGGGCCAGGCGCCCTACGCTTGGCCTTCTCTGGCTTCAACCTGAAGAGGACCAAGGACCTGGGGTGCCCCCGCTGCACGATGCCGCCCCACTGCTCCCAGATGATGGGCTTCTGCGTGCGGGGGCCAGCGTTCGGGTCCTCGCCCTTCGCCACGTCGACCTCGTCCGCCTCCACGTCCGCCCACTCGAGCGCGTTGCCGTCCTGGTCATGGCCAAAGGAGATGTTCCTCTCGCGGGAGTTGACGTACTTGGCGCGGGCTGCATACAGCGCAGAGTAAATGCCCTCTGTCATCTTGTGGTTGTTCTCCAACAAGAGGCGGGCGGACGTCTGCGAGCACTGGGCCACGGCGCAGAACAGCACGGCGGCCCGGTCCGCCAAGCGCCCCCCCGACGACCCCGTGCCGCATTTGAAGATAGGGTGGAAGGCGTGCGGCATGAGGAAGCGTCGGCAGCAGTCGCTCGAGCATTTGTGGGTCCACCCGCCCTTCTTCTTGCCATGGTCCTTCAAGGGGCCCAGCTTGCCGATCTGGCAGTAGGGGCACTTCGCGCCCTTCCACTCAGGCAAGACCATGTCCTTCTTCAAGCGGTCGATCACCTGCTTGGTCGTCGCGTTCACGAAGTCCTTCAAGCACCGAGCCCATGCTGCCCTGTCGAGGCGCGACCTGACCGAGGAAGACCCGTGGCGCGTGTATGGGACGTTCTTCGGTTTGCGCAGGAGTGAGCTCTTCTTCACCTTCTTCATGGGCACGGGCCGCATGGCCATGCGAGCCTTTCCGCGCTTGGCGACTGGCCATGGCTTACCCATGGGCGACGCGCGCGGGGTGGCGGCCGCCTGGCTGCCGACGGGGCTGGCGGGCGGGCTCGGTGGCTTTCTCACACTTGAGCCAAGAACGACAGGGTTCGAATCGACCGAGTGGTGGCAGTGGAAGACGGCAGGTTGAAGACTACACGTGCGATCGCCCACAGAACCCGCTGAGGATGATGCTGTTTCGCACAGTTCACAACCGTCGTAAACAATATGCGTATCCGCGCACATTTCGCATGGGCATTCCTATGTCACTCGCCCAACATATCGCAACGCGGAAGGCATCTACATCTGGAAAGCGAACAAGCATATACATCAATGCATTCATATCAGCTCGCTCCAGCCGTCATAAACAACATGCGTCGCCGCGCACCTTTCGCCTGTGCGTTCCCGCGTCACTTGCCAGGCCAGCTACCGCTGGATCAGTCCGTCTGGTCACCCGGAAGCTGGCTCGCGCCGCCAACGCGCTCCGCCTCGATGTCATCGAGGAGCGTCTCCATTTCGGCATCCAAGTCGACGCCATCGTCGTCCACCACGAGGGTCTCGCCGTGTGCCTGCGCCACAATGGATGCGAAAATCGCCTGCTGCTCCTGGATGTCCACGGGGGAGAGCGGCCCGCCGCAGGCCAGACCCGTCTTCCTGGTCTTCCGCGGCGGAGTTACCAGGTTCTCGTGCGCGCCGTGGTGGGCCTTGGCTAGGCTGCGAAAGATCGCCACCTGCTCCCGATGGTCCTCATCCGAGAGCGCACCGTGGCAGCCGACGATCGGGGGCTGCTTGGCGGGCGCGGGGTCCGCGGGCGCAGCCGCGCCACTCGGCGCCCCCCCGTCGCCGCTCGATCCAGGAGCAGCACCCGCCTGCCACGGCACCATCATGAGCGTGTCGGCCTCGGCGTTGATGATCTCCTTCACGCGGACGTCCCGCGCGGCCGTCAGCTGTCTGGGGGGCGTCGGCTCGGGCTCCCCCATGCCGCCGCCGAAGCCGAACACGTCCTCCTCGTCCGCGGAGACGGCCCGCGCGTCGGCGCCGCCGCCGCCGCGGTCGGACATCCCGCCGTCGTTGGGCGCGGTCTCCACGCCGCCCGCCACGCCTGCCTCCCGCGGCGCCGCGGCACCGGCTGGGGCGCTGCTCGCGGCGGCGGCGCCATCGGCGCCGTCCCCGCCACCGTCGCCCGCGCCCGCTGCTGCGCGCGACTCGGCCATGAGCTGGAGCACCTCCTTCTTCTCAAAGGCGAGGAGCCTGTCGTACTCCTCCTGGTCGCGGCGCTTCTTGTGCCTGAGGAACCGCATCAAGATCTTGCCCGCCTCGGCCGTGATGTAGCTGCTCATGAGGGGCAACTTCTCAACGACCGAGTCCTTGCCAGCGGGCCTGAAGAAGAACGAGTGCTGCGTGTTCAGGGCGACGTTGCACCGCTTGAGCATGGCCCCTAAGTTGCTCTCGGACATACCCTTAGGGAAGGCGGGCCGAATCATGTCCACCAAGATGGCAGTGGTCCGCTTTGCAGCATCGGGCGACGTCGCCGCGAGCCCCCACTCCTCGCCATTTGGTTCAGCGCTGGCATTGTATTCGTTGTCACCGCCAAACCTGGGCAAAGACGAAGCGCGGGGCCGACCGACGCGCAGGATTCGCTTCCCTGGGAAAAAGCCAACAAAATCTGACAGCCAAACTCGAGAAACCTGGCTGGCCCCGACGCGTCGACTTCGCCAGCCGCCTCGCACCCCCCTGGCAGGACCAGCACTGCTCCCGAACGACGGCGAATCTCGAGCACCGCGCAGGCGCGTAAGAGGATGCGGGAGGAGGACGAGGAGGAGGATCATCGGAATTATCGCGGGACGGGGTGCTGGGGGGGGGGCTGAGGTATGCATGTATGTAAATATGTATGTATGTATGTATGTATGTATGTATGTATGTATGTATGTATACATGCATGTATGTATGTATGTATGTATGTATGTGTATGTAGATAGGTAGGTAGGTAGGTAGGTAGTTAGGTAGGTATGTGTATATATACATATATATGTATCTATATATATGAATGTATGTGGAAGCCGCCAGGCGCCCGTGAAGTGTTGGCTGATGCTGAAAAGACTGTCGGACGTAAACGTCCTGGCGCTGCCGCGGAATAGCGGTGTCCATTTCCTGGCCTCGGACTCAGCAAGACCTTGAGCTAAAATGGCAATGTACGGAGTGTCCTCCTTCTCCTCCTCCTCGTCCTCCTCCTCCTCCTCCTCCTCTTCCTCCTCCTCCTCCTCCTACCCCTCCTCCTCCTCCTCCTCCTCCTCCTCCTCCTCCTCCTGCTCCTACAGCAGTATTTCCCTCCCCCTTCCCCCTCCCCCACGTCCCCTTCAGCCCTCTCGCTCCTCATCCATGTCCCCCCCCTCCCGCGGCCTGAGGCAGCACCACTCCCTCTTCTCGGCCGACCAGCCCTCCTCAATCTCAGAAGCCGCTGAAACATCCTCGGCCGGCAGCAGCGCAGTACGCGACCTGCCTCCTGGGTGCGATCCGATGCGATGCGACTCCCAGTGAGGCGAGCGGAGAGAGGAAGGGGCGGAGAGGAGGGATATCGAGAGGGGGGAGAAGGAGGGTGAGGGGAAGAAGAGCGCAAGAGGCGGAGGCTGGAAAGGCGGATCACAAGCAGGAGGACAACTAGCTGGTCACGACATTGTCGAATTGCCGCGACCCTCGCCATGCAGCTGAGGCTACTAACAAGCAGCGAGTGCGGCACACGCCCATTGGGCACTTGGTACAGGCCAGCCAGCGGCATTCGCTACATCACAGGCATCGAGCTTCATCCCCCGAACTCCCGATCCAACTGTCGGGACGCCACTTGCCCGCTCTGTGAAAGGCGGGTAGGGCGGATGCCCCCGAGGCGGTCCTCGCAAGCCTTGTTCTCGTAGACGCAACACCACCTCCCGCCCGCTCCCTGTCCTTCACAGAAAGGTGGGAAGAACAGAACATGCTGGGGCAGAGGGAAGGCAGGGGGGGGCATGGAGAGTAAGGAGGAAAGGAGGGGAGCAGAGGGGAGGATGGCGAGGGAGGAAGAATGGGGGAGGGGAGAAGAGGAGGAAGGGAGAGAGAATGCGTGCCTCGAAAGAGAAAGGAGGAGGAGAAGGGAGAATGGAATCTGTTGGGAAGTAAAATCGGGGCAAGGAAGTGAAGAGGCGGTCGCTCACATGCGAACGATGGGGCAACGCTTCAACTGTCTGAGAGACCGTGCCTCCTCTCGGTCAGAATGTCTCTATTTGCTTCTGCGCCCCCCTCTGTGTCTCTAGATCAACGCTTCTGTGTGTGACTCGCGCATCCACGGCAACTCCTCATCCAGCTGCTCCTCAGGCTCCCCATCTTCCTCGCCTGACTGCAAGGCTAACCTCTCTGGCCTGGGGACGGATGTGGAAGGCTCCTGGGGATACAAAGTGAGCGAATGCCAGCGCAAGCTTGGCCAGCACAAGCTCCTCCAGATGTCAGGGTTGCGGAGGCTGTCCTCTAGGTGGCCACACGTGTCAAGCGCACGCGAATGGCAAAATAATGTGCGCAAGAAACGCCGTCGGGAGCCCCGCACGCGGCGTCGCCCCGTTGTTCGCTTGGACCCTACATCGACTTCGAGCGTCCCGCAGAAAATTCGGCCGCAATGCCTCGCCTGTCATCTGCAACCACGCGAGTCTCCCTCCCTCGTTTCCTATCCGTTCACTCCTTCTACCCCTGCCCCCCTCCCTCGTGGACAGCGGATCTGGTTTCATCCTGATTTTGAGCTCTGGAGTTGGAGTGTGGGCTCCGAAATGCTCTGGGACGGCTACGAAGGCCTGGGCATTTGCTCCCGGTAGTGTGAGTGCCGAGGACGGTGGCACGGTGGTGAAGCATGCGCACGCCCTCAGCCAAGCCTGACCTTTCCCTTGGAGGGCGAGAGCTGTGGATGGGAGTACTGTGATGTGCAGTGCAATGGGAACTTCGATGCTGCAAGTGGGTTCCCTTGTCCCCGTGTCTGTTCCATTCGCTTTCCGCTTCTGCCGCCCATCCCCACTCTGCCCCCTCATCTAACACCGTCGTCTTCATCTTCTCCTGCTCCTTCCCATTGGTTGTCTTCTTATCCGTCCCTTCTCTTTTACCTTCTGTCGCCCTCATCCTGTTCCTCCTTCCTTTCCGCCACTTCCTCCTCCTCCTTCTCCGCCTCATCTTCCTCCTCCTCCTCCTCCCCTTCCCTTCCCTATCTCTTTTGCCCCCGACTCCGCCTTCCCGCACTCGCGTTCACATCAGGAGTCCTGCTCCTCCACCTCCGTTGTGCTCCTCCTTCTCCCCCAAAACATCCTCCTTCAACCCTCCCGTCTCCCTCGACTCGTGCCCCTGCCCCTGCCCTAGCCGCTCCCTGCACACTTCCTCTTGTCGTCCGGCCACTGCGTCGTCCACTGCGAGAAACCCTCTGCGCAATCGTATGGCTTGGACGTGGTGATCGTCGTGGTGGTCGCCTCCCCTTTCTGCGACCGGATCGGAGCAATAGCCGCGAACTTCCTCCTAGCCGTGTTTCCCACGGCTTACCATCTGTGCGCCCAATGCTCCTCGCACCTGAGGAGGAGGGACTGGGATCTTCATTTTGCGCCCCTCCACCATCGAGGCCACCTCCACACCAAGAGAAGGACGAGTCAATAACCTCGCTTCGACGCAAATAAATTGTCCTGCCTCGCGCTGCGAGGTGCGCCATGATCGTCTCATCGCACTGTGTCCCAACCAAAAGATGTTTGGGGATATGTCCTGAATTCGTCAGGCTGCACGTGAACTGAATTTCCACGGGCATGTGCATCAGGTCAGTTGGATTGCATTGGGGGTCATGTGTGTGAAGTCTCTTTGTAGCACCCCCCTGGGAAATCGTAGTTTTGTGTTCGCATGCGCCATGTCGTGCGACGCCTGTGCGCGAGCTTTCCAGGTCGTTTGGCGGATAACGAAGAAGCAAATTCTTGCTGCCTGCGGGCGGTACCCGCCAATTGTGCTGCCAGTGCCCCGATACCAGTGCCCCGATAGGGCCCCCACGGTGTCCGAATGGTGTCATGGTGTCGTGATGTCACGGTGTCGTGGTACCCTGAGGCCGCTTTGCTGTAGTGTCATGGTGCCGTGGCGGCGTCGTGGTGACGTTGTAATGATGCCGTGGTGCCGCGGCGCGTCATCGGTGCACCGATCATTTTGAGATGTCTCGGTTGTGTCCAAACGACTTTTCTATTTCTTTTCGAAAATGCCCCGGTAGTGCCACAATTTACCTTCAATTATGCCCCGATGGTGTTACGATCAAACTCCGACGGTGTCATGATCAGAATGAGGGGGCCGAGCGGTCATTCATTGTCTCTGCCTGCGTGGCTGAAAAGGGATCCCGTGGCCCGGATTATTGTTGTTGTTGTTCTTGCTTGTGGTTTGTTGTTACTGTGACTGTGAATGTTGTCTGTTGTTGTCGCCCTCGCCCGCGCCCCCCACGCGGCCCCCCAGCGACCCCCCGGCGACCCCCCGGCGACCCACCCGCGACCCACTCGCGACCCACCTCGCGACCCACCCGCGACCCACCCCACGACCCACCCCGCGCCCGCCCCCCTCGCTCTCATCCGCGCAAGTGCGGGCTGCTGCACAATGATTTTCCGGATGGTGTTCCGATGGATGGTCGTGTACAGTCGGGGCGTTGACCTAAGGAACCCTAAATAAGGAACGAGGCCCCTTTTCTCCACAAGTTGACCTTCGATTTCTGTCGAAAACATAAGGAAAGCCTGAGGCGAGCTGTGAAACACTCAAGGAACGCGGAGCCCCTCCCCAACGAAAAGGGTTGCTTCTTCAGGGCCCCGACTGTAAGTTTTGATGTCTTGACGGTGTCCTGTTGATGTCCTGACGGTGTCCACGGTGCCATGAAAGAGTGTCCCGACGGGTGTCTCGATCCATTCGAGGACGCTGTTCCGACCCCGTCCCGCCAAGGTTTCTCGATTGTGTCCAAGGTGTTCTGTGGGTGCCCTGGCTGATATCTGGATGGTGCCCGGACGATCTTCCGATTGATTCCGACAGTGTCTCGACGAGATTCCGATTCACTTGAGGCGGCGGCGCGGCGAGTATCCCGATTGACTCGACGACGGGCAACACATTGTTCAAGGCAGTGCAAATATATACACATACGGCGGCAGGGAGCGCATGGTAACGACTTGCGACGCCCTATACGGCACAGACATTGTCTGGCTGCTGCTAGACCTGGACGCCGATGACCTTACGCGGCCAACCTGGACATCAAGCGGGCAGCTTACACAAGGCGCGCACGGCCGCCAGCGGCCGCCAACCTGACGCGAGGCCAACGCGGACCGCCTGCGGACAGCTTACTGATGCCTGAACGTGCACGCGCGCACACACCACGAGATGCTCCAGCTCCACGACGACCACCAGTTCTCGGAGGACGGATGTGGAACAGGCAGGGAGGGGGGGACGGGGGCAAGTGGGCATGAAACAAGAGAAAGCCAAGACGACAGCGGCACAGCATGAAACAGCACAGGATAATTGCTTGAAGGAGGATAGGAGAAGGAGGAGTGAGGAGCTGCTTGGGCACTGCTACTTTTCAATTCCAGGACTGCGCACGTACCCCTGCCGATTTGGACTGAAACCGATGGCAAAAAGCGCTGGACCTCAAACATAGGGAGCCCACAAAGGACGTACGCGCCCAGCTATGTACATGAACGCGGCCCCTCGATCCGTGAGACCGGCCGCGTTATACGAACATTTGCGCAATGTGAACTCTCGAAACCAGCGTGGATTCATGTACATGTACGTCCTTCTTCCGCTCCTGAAAACATACCTCTCGCGAGGTGGAGTCAGTCGAGAAGGCGGCCCATCTCCTCTTTGAGGCCTTCCACATCCAGCCAGTTCAACATGAAGTCGTTGGTGGCAGGATGCTGTCCATCCTCTGTCAATTTCCGCTGCCGTGTATGGCACGGACGTTGCGTGCTAGTATGCTTGTGAGATGTCTGGTAGGGTTCTGGCTAATTTTCTAAGTGCCCTCTCCCCGCTCCGCACACCCAATCGCGTGCATCGTCCCCAAGACTCCTGGCCCGTAGCACAGCGGCGGATTTGCCGGAGGCAGCTGGATGAGCACCTTCTCGGCCATGTACCAATTAGATGGAAGCACCCCCTGTGGCCACACAACGGAGCACACGAAACACAATGTCACAGCGGCCAGCGCCAACTCACTAAGCTCCGCCGCCTCCAAGGCACCAACGAGCGCCTCTGCCACATTCGCCTCCTTCTTCTTTGCCCACTGCGTGTCGGCCCTGAACTCCTTCCCGCTGCCATAAGACACTGGCAGACGATCCGGAAAGAGATGGCCGAACCTGCTGGACCAGATCCGCCACTACGCTTTGCAGCAGTGAGCGTGTGTCGGCCCCCCCTTGACTGATTCTGCACCATGCGCATAACTACTGATCATTGCGAGGCAACAAGATATCCCCCTTTCGACAATCACAACCAGCATGACCTGGCGTTTCTCGCTTCGACGACGACGACAACGACGACGACGACGACGACCAGAGCAAGGCTTGGGCGCCAGGCGAGCTCCCCATGGGGAACGAACATTATGAGTGGTCTGAAGATATGTGCGGGCGGTGCGCATGCGAGCTTCCCTTTTGGGGCCGTGATCTCAGCTCCCTGTGGGGCACGATCCGTGTGAAGGCACATGGGGCCGCGACCGCTGGGGCCGAACTTGGAACTCCGCCTGGGGCACGATCCGTGCGAGGGATGTGCCGGAATTCGCGAGGAGAGGCACGGGACAACGCCCACTCGAGCCGCAGTCGAGCTGCCTCTGGGGCACGATCCGCGCGAGGGGTGTGCCGCAGAGTAGTCGTGGGCACCTATGGGACAGCGCCTACGAGGGTCGCAGCTCGAGCTCCCCGCGGGGAACGTTCCGTCTGAGGGGTGCGCAGGAATGCTCGGGTGGGCCACGGGGCGGGGCCGTGCCCACCACGGCCGTGGTCGAAGCTCCCCGTGGCGCAGGACGCCTGGCGCGGCCCTGCCGGGGCGAACCGTGCCCACCACGGCCGTGGCCGAAGCTCCCCGTGGCGAAGGACGCCCGGCGCGGCCTGGCCGCAGTGCTTCCCTTCTGGCGCCGTGGCCGGTCTGCGCGGCAGCGGCGATTGGATGTTGCGATGCTCGGAGGAGGGCCAGCGGAGGCGGCGGCGGCCCTCCCGCCCGGCTCGAACCTGCTCAAAATGGGCCCTGGCCATCGCTCGGACGTCCACTCCCCGTGTTTCTGTTCGGCTTCGTGCGTGGCCTTTTCCCCACATGATCAAGGATGCTCCTCGGTGGTCCCCGCCGAAGGAAAAATACACACGCCCGAGCGATGCCAAGGCCCCCCAAAACAATCCCGGACCCCTCCAGGGGTCCGACCCGACATATTTTCCGAGCTGCGTCCCGCCGTGGCGGCGGGCCCACGCCCCCACCCAGCTCCAGAGGCGGCCGAGGTCCCGACCAGCCCTCCTCAGAGATAGATGCGGTGCTGGCGATTGTCCGAGCTCACGTCGTTGAAGCCCAAGAGATCCGCCACGAGGTTCATGGTCTCGGTGCGGTTGGCGCCCTGGCCAGCGCCGCCGCAGACGCGGGCGTAGCTGCTGAGGATCTGGTTGTGCGAGCCTCTGTCGCTGGCGCCCTCGCTGCCGTAGTTGTGCTCCTCCAGCCCGTACCAGAACTCCTGTGGGCTGCACAACAGAACTCCAGACACTCCTCCCTGGGGTCTGGGGCACCTCGTTCGCCCTCTGGAGGGCTACTTCGGGCCTCGGGGGCCCCACGGATGGCTCTGGCACGCCGGAGAAACCCCGATCTGGCGCGAGAACTCCAGGGAGCGAAATCCAAGTCCATTTTGAGCCACAAGCTAGCCCCATCGAGCATGTCCATAAATGATGTCCTCACCCCGTCCCGTGGGGCGAAGAAACAACTAGTATGATACCGGAGAAAAACCCAATCAGATTTTTGTTGGGGCTATGGGGCTATAGTGCTATAGGGCTATAGGGCGAGGATGTGAGGGAAGATCTGGGTGAAGATCTAGGATGGGATTTGGGCGAAGATCTGGGTGAAGATCCGGGGGGGGAACCCCTTAAGATCTGCGTGACGATCTAGGAGGAAAACTGGGTGAAGATCTGTAGGGAGATCAAGGAAAACATCTGGGGGAAGAGAACCGTGACAAATGTTTGAAATAGGTATTCGAGTATCACTCGCGCGATGACGGAAGGGCACGAAAGAAAACAAAGGATTTTAAGCATATGATTTTAGAGTAGGCCCGCGAGACCGAGCCCGAGCACGCCGCCCAAATTTTCTGAACTCCCTGTACTCCTATGGGCTGATATTAGTTGGCTGGTCTGGACGTTCCTTACTTGCCCGGTCGTGGCACCTGCTCCCCCACCCGGCTCTGCCCCGCCGCCGTCGGGCTGCTGGAGCTTGCCTGAGCGGGCCCAGCCTCCTCTCTTCCTGTTGCGCCGGGGTCTCCTCCTCTCCTTCCTCCTCCTCCTCCTCCTCCTCCTCCTCCTCCTCCTCTACTTCCTCCTCCTCCTCCTCCTCCTCCTCCTCTGCTTCCTCCTCCTCCTCCTCCTCCTCCTCTACTTCCTCCTCCTCCTCTTCTTCTTCCTCATCATCCTCCTCTTCTTCCTCCTCCTCCTTCCCGGGATAGGAGCTAGGGGGCCACATGCGAACCGTACCCCTACCCCCCACGATTTCTGAGGGGGAGGGTGGGGTTCACTTCGCTGGGGAGCTCCCGAACGAAGCGAACCCCGCCCTCCCCCTCAGAAATCGTGGGGGGTAGGGGTAGGGTTCGCATGTGGCCTCCTATGATGCCCCATCGCCGGAGTAGTAACCTCTGCCCAGCCGCCGACGCAAAAAAAGGTGCGTGTTCCTCCTCAGGTGTGAAAGTCTGTCTGGGCCCCATCCTTATCGACCAGCTTCAACTCCACCTGTAGGGGGCCACATGCGAACCCTACCCCTACCCCCCACGATTTCTGAGGGAGAGGGTGGGGTTCACTTCGTTCGGGAGCTCTCGAGCGAAGTGAGCCCCACCCTCCCCCTCAGAACTCGGGGGGGGGTTTGGGTCGGGTTCGCATGTGGCCCCTAACCTGGCTCTTCGCAGAGAGCAGCTGGCCCAAAACGGAGCGCGTCTCGCCGTCCAGCTGCATGAACCTGCTGCCCGAGTCGCCTGGCAGCCCGCTCTCCGCCGGGTCCTCGCGGAGCCCGTGCCCTTCTGGCCAGCGCCCGGGCTGGACAGGCCGGAGTGACACCACCACCCGGCGCCCCATGACACAGGAGCGCCCGCTTCTGCTCTCGTGGGTCTGCTCCAGCAAGTCCCTCACGGCGATCGTCCTGCGTTCTTCGTGGGCAATGTGTCTCTGGACGATCCGGTCTGTGAAGGCGTAGACGAGTCGGTCCCCCTCGTCTTCCAGAGCCTTGAACTTGTCCGCGGCAACTTTGTCTGAGGCGTGGTCCCGCGAGGGCGTTTCCACGCACCAGTCCGCCGCCGTGTCTGCACGGACGTGGCGTGCTGGAACGCCTGCGAGCTGTCTGCCAGGGCTTCTCTTAGTCTTCTAAGTTCTGAGGACACCCCCATCCACCCATTTGACGCGCCCAGCTGCGTGCATGCCCCCCCGCTTCCAAGTCTGCTCAGCATCGGTCCCCAGACCTATCCCCGGGCCCATCCTGGCATCTTTGCTTTTCCGAGCTGCGCCCAGCCGTGGCGACGAGGAGGCCCCCAGGAGGCCAGCAGAAACGCGGCTCGTGGCGCGGTGGCAGAATATGCCAGAGGCAGCTGGATGCTTGAAGTGGTGCAACTTGCTGCCCGGCTTCATCTCGCGCTCCACCTTATGCGGAATATATATATATATATATATATATATATAAGGGGGGGGCCTTCTCTGCCCCATCTGGCCCGGCCGCCAGCGCCATATCCGAGGTTATCCGAAGCTGCCCCGAGGCTGTCCCGAGGCTATCCGAAGCTGTCCCGAAGCTATCCGAGGCTACCCGAAGCCGTCCGAGGCCAAAGGGGTGCAAAATGATGCAATGCAGCAGGTGTCGGAACAGAAGAGGCCCCGCGCATCTTCGATGCAGTCCACCTTCGCTCGTTTGGACGTAACCCACGCCGGAAAACAAAGGGACCCCCAGGACGAGCCCTCAAAAAACGAGGACGAACAAAGGGCAGCGGTGTCTCGGCAGCACGTCGAGGGGGGAAGTGAGGAGGAGCAGGCCCTCTCGGAAGCCCCGTGGCCGTTTGAAAGGCCCTCTGTGGCTTCGGAGGAAGCTCCGTCAGCTTCTCAGAAGGCCGCAGGCCTTCTGAGCCTTCTAAGATGGCCCCCTCCTCTGCCCCTTCCCCCCTGGCGCGCCGCCGAGTGTTGGTGCATTCTCCTCCTCCTCCTCCTCCTCCTCCTCCTCCTCCTCCTCCTCCTCCTCCCCTCCCCCTCCTCCTCTTCCTCCTTCTCCTCCTCCTCCCCTCCTCCTCCTCCTCCTCCTCCTCCTCCTCCTCCTTCTCTGGGCTCCACCCTCTCTGCGATGCGCTCGGCCCAGCAAGCCGCGAGCTCCCACAGCCGCTGAGCCGCCGCTGGGAGTGACGCCTCTGCGTGCGAGGGGGGTATGGAAGCGCCCCGCCGCAGCAGCTCGTTGAACTGCCCCTGGAGCGCCTCCTCGTCCATGCTCTCCTGCGGGGCTTTACCCCCGACCCTGGAGGATCGAGGACGGAGGATTTTGGACGCTGTTGTGCCTCCTTTGGCCCTGTTGGGGCCTCCGGATGGCCTCGACGGAGGCCTCGACGGGAGCCTCGATGGAGGCCTCGACGGAGGCCTCGACGGGGCCTCCCGGGACTTCCAAGGATCAAGATCCGCGGCGGCAGCAAAACGTCCGTGTTCTCCTGCTCGAGCCACTTCTGCTCCATCTGCTTGTTCCACTGCTCCGTCGCGGCCTCGTAGGCGAGGCGGTCTTGTTCCTCCAGGCAGACCTTGCACACTGGTGCGTCCCAATCGACCCTCTTGTTGAAGCTCTCTCTGTCCAACTCCTGCTCGCAGCGCGTGCATTTGGCCATCCGCAGCCTCTGCTCGGCCTGTTCCAGGCACTTCTTGCAAGAGCGTTCTGTCAAGCTCGCCTTCTGCTGCTTCTTGTGGAACATGTCATACGGGAGGCGATCCTTGCAGCCGCTGCACTGCAGAAGGTGCCCTGGCGATGGGGGAGGAAATCGTGAGCCCGGGAAGGTTGGCTCTGGAGCTCCCCATATCCGACGAGAGCGTGCGCTCCTCTTCAACCACCCCTCATCTGCCTCCCTCGCCTCACTTCCGCTCCTAGGGGGCCACATGCGAACCCCACCCCTATCCCCCACGATTTCTGAGGGGGAGGGTGGGATTCACTTCGCTCGAGAGCTCCCGAACGAAGTGAACCCCACCCTCCCCCTCAGAAATCGTAGGGGGTAGGGGTAGGGTTCGCATGCGGCCCCCTAGCTCCTATCCCGGGAAGGAGGAGGAAGAAGAGGAGAATGATGAGGAAGAAGAAGAGGAGGAGGAGGAGGAAGTAGAGGAGGAGGAGGAGGAGGAGGAGGAGGAGGAGGAGGAGGAGGAGGAGGAAGTAGAGGAGGAGGAGGAGGAGGAGGAGGAGGAGGAGGAGGAGGAAGTAGAGGAGGAGGAGGAGGAAGAGGAGGAGGAGGAGGAGGAGGAGGAGGAGGAGGAGGAAGAGGGGGGGAATGGGCCTAATGTTCCGAGTAGGGGATCGACCACCCCTCATCTACCTCTCTTCCGGCCCTTCCCATCCCCCATCCCCCTTCTCCCCTCGTGCGCGGCTGGACGTAGCCGCCCCTCCCCCGTCGAGGCCCCGCCCTCGCGCTGCAGCCCAGCCAGACAGCAGGCGCTCACCGGCGAGAGCGGCCGCCCTGGCCAAGCGCAGAGATCGCATCGGGCCTCGCCTCAGGGACGGACGCCTTCGACGAGATCCACCAGACAGCAGATGAGGAGGCGCCTGCCCAGGCTGCGGCTCCCCTCTACGTCGACCCTGGCGCTTGGGACCGGCAGTTCGCGGAGGCAGGAGGGAGAGCGAGGCGCGGGCCACCGTCGGCGGTGCGGAGGTATGCGCGGCCACTGTGGCGTGCGCCACGTGGGCGCATGCCGAAGAGTCTTGAAGAGCCGGCGCCGCTCCTCACGGAGCAGGTGCAGCCAGGCGACCGAGGGCGGTGCTCTGGGCGAGCCGGCCTCCACAGCCGCCGAGGGGCCAGGCTCCGCCCATCACCAGGGCATGCACGCCTGAGGTCGCCAGCCACGGAGCGGTGGGAGACGCTGGAATCGCCAATGAGTGGACTCGCCGCCCTACGCCGTCACGAGCGCGACATCGACCAGCAGGCCACCCTGCAAAACTCCGTAGGCGAACTGATGGAGCAAGACGGCGGCACGCAGCCCGCGGCCTCGCTGCTCGGTTGTTGTTCGGGCAGCGGGCGGCCTGGGCCGAGTGCAAGGCTGGGCTCCACAACACGAGCGCCGTCATCAGCCCCTCAGACGTCGTAGAACTCGAGGACCTGGAGCAGATCCTGCAGAACACGGTGGGCTGAGTGGCACGACCATGGGGCCGAGCCCTGAGACCTTCCTCTCATGACTTCGTCGCTTGGTCCGAGGACTGCTGGCGGGAACGCTCAGGGCGGGTCCATGGTCACGTCAAGGATCGTACCCTCGAACGACTTCAGATTCCAGCCGATGATGGGGCTGAAGGGGCGACGTCATATCATTTGGCGATCATGGCCGCCAAGACGGCCCAGTGGCAGCCGCTCTGGCAGGACTCGGGCACCACGAGGGCCGATCTCGCCCAGGCCATGCGGGACCTTCACGCAACTGCTCGTGACGATACCCTGCCAGCACTAGAGCAGGCTGCCATCGACGGCATCGTTGCCAGGCTGCCCGCGAGCAGTGCCTGTGGAGTTGACGTGCTCAGTCAATTCGATCGCCAGCGGTTTCCCGACGGCGGCCGAGCGGGCTGTGTCAGCTTGCTCACAGTGCTGACGCTGCAGGATTGTGGCCAATGCAACCTTTGCTCGCTATATGTGCGATACCACCCAAGCCAGCGGGAGGGGATCGCGTAACCGGCGTCCTCCCCGCAACGATGGGGGTCTGGCCCCGAGCCCGCGATGCAGCCACCGACCAGTGGTCAGCTCAGCAAGCCCATTTTTGGGACACTGCCGCGCGGGGCACCTCAACCCTAAGCGGCGCTGGTCACGGCAATTCTCGGCGGGGGAACTCGGTTGCCAATTCGCAGTGATGCTGCTGGATTTAGAACAGTTGGCCGATCATGCCAGCATGCGCAAGTTGATGCGGGTTGCCACGGAAGCTGGCCTTCCTCCGATTGTTTCCCTTCTCGAGGTTCAGATGTTCCTGGCCACTCGGACCCAAGGCCCGCGCGATGGCCCGCGCTCCGCTTTTCCCGACTCGCTCCATCGTGGCTGGATCGGCCCAAAGGGGGGAAGCTTGCGAACCTGTTATTGGGACCGATCCTGGAACGTGCGCACGCCCAGTGTGGAATCCAGCCCATGGTGGCCTCGGTCGGTTTGTGAACGCTTGTAAACGAGATAGTGATCAGGAACGAGAGCACCCAACCGCAAACTGCTTCGTCACTACGATTTGCCACTGAGGTCATCACTCCGTCATTTGATGAGAGTGAACTTCCTGTCTCGAATGAGCCTACAGTCGGGGCGTTGACCGAAGGAACCCTAAATAAGGAACGAGGCCCCTTTTTTCCATAAGTTAAACTTCGATTTTCCCATCGAAAACATAAGGAAAACCTGAGGCAAGCTGTGAAACACTTAAGGAACGCGGAGCCCCTCCCCAACCAAAAGGGTTCCTTCTTCAGGGCCCCGACTGTAGGCCCATGGTCTCCTCCAACGCTCTCGGCGAGGAGCTGCTGAACCTCCTGAGGGACCTCGGCCTGCCCATCGGCCTCGCCTCTCGTGCCGTCGATCTCGGATGCGATGCTACCCGCTCTAAGCGCGGGGCGTCCAAGAAGGCTGAGGAGCGCATAGCGAAAGCCAGGCGCCGACCAGGCCGCGCGTCTCGTCTCCGCAGGCAGGCCGCTCTCACAAGTATAGCTCTACATGGACTTTTTCTCCAGGGATCGGTGCCGCAAGCGGTGTGCGAACACCATGGGCCTCGCTCCTTCGACTATCCTCTGGCTCAGGAGGCAAACGAAGCATGCTGTGGCGGCGAGGGGTCCTGGGAAGGGTCTTTTGACGGTGTTGGGCTCGTGGCGTGGCGACCAGGAACCCGCCCTGGCCCTACGCTGCCAAGTCCTATCAACGCGGTGCGACCTCTGGGACCGCAACCCCCACCGCATAGGCGCGTTTCTCGGTCTTGGCAGCCCATCCTGAAACAGTTGGGGGGGTTAGCTAAGCACCGGTGGCGCAAGTTCCGAGGTCCGATAGCAGCTGTCATAGCAACCCTTCTCGACTCGGGCGGGAAGCCCGTGTTGGCGACAGAGTGGCACCGACGCGCGAATGCCACCGACGCTGGCATCCGATTTCCCGACGCGCCCCCATGAGGAGCGTGAGGTGGTAGATTTAGATGTTTCTGAGCTGGTTTCGGAGTCTAGAGACGACCTTGGAGCGAAGCTTTGGCGCCAAGCGGCTGGGCATGTTTTCGGTGAGTGCATAGGGGAGGAAGAGGAGGAGGAGGAGGAGGAAGAGGAGGAGGAGGAGGAGGAGGAGGAGGGCTAGGGGTGGGGGGTAGGGGTGGGGTTCGCATGTGGCCCCCTACCATGGACGTCCACTCGGCCCGAGACGGGCCGCGAGGCCGCGAGTGCAGGGGACAACGCTCTTCTCAGCAGTGCGCACTGCTGGACCTGGGCCCACAGCAAATGTCTTGGCGCGCTTTCTTGATGCATCCGGAACGATACAGATATAACCCCTGCAGCCTCGGCAGTGCGTCTTGCGGCAGAGTCGAACTCCAACCAGGCCGTGGACTTGATTGAAAGGGCGGCCAGTGGGGTGGTGGTGGGGGGCAAAGAGCTCAGCGAATCCCACCGCCTGTTTTCTTGGTCTCGGTTTTCCTTGCATGCTTGCGCGCTCTCTCTCTCTCTCTCTCTCTCTTTCTGTCTCCGTCTCTTTGTCACTCTCTCTCTCTCTCTCACTCTCTCTCTCTCTCTCTATCTCTGCTCAAATCGTCTCGAGGAACCCGCGTCAGCTCACTGGGATGTGCACGCCTTTGAGGAATGGCCACGAGAACCAGGCTAAGAGTCGCCAGGGCAAGCACCCCAGTCATCAAGGGCCGTCGGCGGCCGTCACAGAGGCGGCTCCCTCCAGGGTCCGACGGATCGAGGTCCGTCGTGGAACCCACCTCCCAGGAGTGCTGTGGCACGGGGCTCGGCTAAGTCACCTGTATCGTTTGTACGATCTCTTCGAATCCCCCTTCTGCCCTGATCCTCCTCCATATCCCGCCGCCTGCCCCTTGATGATGGCACCAGAGGCGTTGCCTTGCACTGACACCACGCTCGGGCGCGTTATTTCCCAAATGTAAACACTGGCCAACCCAACGACTGTCTGTATGCCGCGCAGACATTAAAGTCATCATCTGTCGTAAAACACGGCCGAGTTCCCATGTTGAGGATGGTCCGCTGACCCCCTCATGCCGATGATGCGACGTCGACCTCCTACAGCACTGCCCCTGCAAGGGCTACCTGCACAACTAGCTTGCGGCTGATGAGAAGGAGTCGGGGCTTCGGACTGGCTTCACACTTGTTCATCACTCCTGCCCTGTATGCTTTCTATGAACACATGCGCATGTATTTCTGCTGCTGTTTCAACGTTGGTGAGTCCACGAGTGCTTCACACAGCTGGCCCCACGAATGATAAACACGATCACCCCGCTTAAACACGATTGAGTCGCAATTATCGGTTACAAGTGAAGAAAGCCAAGCGCACATCGTATTCAATGCGACTCGAATGTTACGTCAGGCAACCTCGAAAATCTCGCCGCCAAAATAACATGATCACGCCTTCCCCCGTCACTCTCCTCCTCCTCCTCTTCCTCCTCCTCCTCCTCCTCCTCCTCCTCCTCCTCCTCCTCCCGCTCCTCCTCGTCCTCCTTCTCAGTCCTCTTCCTCCAACTCCTCGTCCGCCTCGTCCTCCTCCTCCTCCTCCTCCTGCTTCACCTCCTCATGCTCTACCCCCCACCTCCTCGTCCTCCTCCTCCTTCTCCTGCTGCCGTCGATCCCCCGACCTCTCCAGGCAGATCCTGGCCAGACTCTCGAGGCGGACTCCGCCGTGGCGACGAGATGCCCGAAAAGGACTCAGCAAGTAACAAGCCACTATACCACCGAACATCGAGCCTCGCTTCTCCCTCTCCTTCTCTTCTCCCTCCTCCTCCTCCTCCTCCTCCTCCTCCTCCTCCACCTCGTCATCATCACCAC